GGGGGGGGGGGGGGGGGATTGGGGTGATATAAATCTCTTATCTTGAATGTTGTAGATGGATTAGATGTATTGCAATAGAAGAAAATGGAAGTTGGTCACCCCTGGGACTTAAAAAGTTTATGCTGGGGTCAATTTATAAAACTTTTACAAGTGTAATTTACAGGTGCAGCTATTGTTTTCAGTCTCCAAAACAAGGCTACACTTGTAAATTACACTTATAAAAGTTTTATCAAATTAACCCCTGATTCCAACTCTTTCTGTCTAGCAAAGAGTTGACTGTATCAAGCATGGATCAAGGAAAAATACTGTTTGATTTCCTGAAAGAAATGCAATCTTTTAGCGGGGGGTGGGTGGGGAGGTCCAGGTTTTGGATTTTAACTCCCTAAAGTCCCCTTTCCTGGGTTTCTAATTCATTCAGCCAGGATATAGGCCAGTTTCATTCTCTTCGGATGAAGTATTGCAAATATGCAGATTATTTCATCGCTCTATTTTAACTTGGAAATTTTTTTAAATTAAAAATGTATCATTATGAAAAATCTGACTGATTTCTGTGAAATGGTGGAAACCAGTGTGGACCCGCACTTGTTTATCAGTAGAGTTTTTCTAATAACCTTCTCTTAATCCATTTCTTTTTAATTATCTAGCATATGCCATGACCTTTACTGTTCTCTACATGGAGGCAAGGATCCATTTTCCTCACAGCAAGTTTCTCAAGTTTTTCCTGCAGCTTGTGGTAGCTCAGATGGGCATCCTGTGCTCGCTGTCTCGAGTAAGCGATTACAAACATCACTGGACTGATGTACTGGCTGGTCTGTTGTTGGGTATCCTGATCGCTGTATTGATATTTGACCGCGTTGTGCAGATGTTAAGGAAGGACACAAAGTCCAGGCAGCCAGTAACTGAGGATATAGTATAACAGACCTTTTGAAGCCCCAGTTTTCCTGGCCAAACAATCGCCAAATACGAATCTCTTTTTTAAGTCCAATACAAGACTTTTTCAGAGTCTAACATAATTGGAGCAGCACAGTGCACACAGTACAGGCACTATTTCAGATATTTTTCTTGGTACAAGAAAGAGAATAGACACCTTTTGGTTCTGTCCCTTTCTTTTGGTTTCACGGGAACTATGTTAGAGGCTATTGCCCAATTTGTAGTTTGCACGTCATGGAAAAATAAATGTTGCAAAATATAATCTTCCTAAAATCAAAAATTTAAGATGTTGCGAACATCTTATAAAGCAAGATACATTTAGCAACAGTGATTTTAAACATACAGTATCCCGTAACCTCACTATGCTTCCAAACCCAAAAGTGAGTGAATAAATGAAATAAAAGTCCTGGAGGACCACCGAAAGTCAAGAAATGTCTTCCTTGTTTCTTTATATATTATTTAACCTTAGTTGGGAAAATTAAGATAGCTTTCTTCTGTCCCATAGTTTTTACAAGCATGCAAGCAGACTGATAAGTTTATAGTAAATCTTTAAAATTGTTTATTTCTGCTAGTTTTTGAGTGGGTACTTAAGTGAATTTACGATTGCTAAACAACAGAGCACTTGAAAACGTCTGGTTTTGACCGAGCTCATTATGTTTTGGCGTGAGTGCAAGGCTTATATATCATCCCATGATATGTTTGACCGTTTTTAGGGTACTTTGAATGCCAAATGTCTAAACTATCGGCGAGGTTATCAATGACTTTTTGCCCCAAGATCCTTTCTAAATACTCCAAAATACAGTTCAACGTTAATTTTAAATTGCCCTATTCATGTTGATGTTTCTAACATATTCTGGTAAAGAATTCCATAACTGAGCCCACTATAGATAAAGCTACGCTTTAGATAATTGGTTAGCCTGTTCCAGGCTCCGAGATGGTGGTGGAAAGTCGTTCAGTAATAAGAAATGCGAAAAACGCGCGGGGGGCTGGAGAGAGACGGGACGGCCTTTCCCAAGTCGCGCGCGTCTTAGTTTCGCTTTGCTCGTTTTAATACGTCCGCACTATACTATCTGAGATCCTGGCACAGGCTAATAATTGGTGCGTGGCTTGAGCAGAGTTAACTTACTGCTCGCGAGTTTTGTAGATCGTAATATGAACCTCGTTCAGTGAAAAATTCTTGCAAGTACAATGGGGCCTTTTTATGGAGAAACTTCAACATCATAACTGCCTTTTGATTTCGCTCTCTTACTGAGAGTGTATCCCATTCCAGCAAATCTAAGAATGAGAATGCTAAAGCTTGTCTCATAATTTGCCTTAGCGATCACCCTGGCTGCACATGAAAAATACGTATTTTTATCTTTTAATGTTAACTTGAGGAATCAGACCTAAATTTTTGATTTACTGATCGTATGTATTTGCAATCGTATGTTCACCCCTGCTACATGTTCGCCGTTCTTTCATTTGGAAAAAAGCTGGATACCAAAGAGTATCTGGAGTATTCCCCTCCAGGCGCATTTATTATTATTTGATAGTAATTTGTCCACAAATATAGCCAAGTTTAGCAGTTTTATGCGAAAACAAAACAGAATTGAATCTCAGGAGCCTCAATTTTTCGAGTTTTCCTTATTTGTATTGTTTAATTTTCAAGCCCCAGGGCTTCCTAAGCTGATGAAAAGCAGTGGTGGACAAAAAAAGAGGGGACAAAAGATATTTAAACAGTTGTAGTCTAATTTTTTTAAAAACGTTCCTTCTTGCCCTACGGAAGTGGCCCTGATAAATTTGAAAAGATGTAGTTATTATAAATAACAGTGACGAAGTCACTTTGAAAAGCTTAGCGGGTGTCAAAACGTATCCAAGTGAAGAGCCTTGTAAACATAGTTGCAAGCATTTGCTTTTGTTTTGGATGTTAATTTGGTTGTAAATTTTTTTTAGGCAGCTATTCAAACAAGATCGCGTGGTATGGTAAAAATGTGTACAAGCTGAAAAGGCCCTATCTACAATAGTTAACTGTTACCTTAGTTTTAGCTGACGAAAAATATTTGAACAGATGTATTTTCCCTGGTGTGAAAACGAGGATAAAAACATGCGATGTCAGATATCTAAGATTAACTTAGATTTTAGCAAATTCGAGTTTGAAAAGCTTAGCGGGCGACTAAATCTCGTTAAAGATAAGCTGGGCAAATTCGTTTGCATTTCATTTGTGTTCAGCGTTAGCTGTAAGAGATTTAATATAATTTGTTTTGTGTTATTTCATTTACTTTTTGAGCACTTTTTCACAGAAAATCGAAAGCTAGAGCAATAAACGAAACTCACTCGCCTGCCTCTCAGAAAAAGAAAAGGCATTTATAGTTCTTTACCGTGAACTGATTTTTTTTTAAATGAAGAAATGATCGTCGCAGTGATGAAACAAAAAATTAGGACTTCAACGGGGTTTGAACCCGTGACCTCGCGATACCGGTACTATGCTCAACCAACTGAGCTATGAAGCAACGGACGTTGGGAGCAGGTCAATTGTGGGTTCATATGTTCCCGTGAAAGAAATGAGAGTTAATGATATATGAAATAAATCATATATGAACTGCGGAAATGAAATGAAAATGAAGAAATAATCGTCGCAGTGAACGCAATTTATGCAATTACGTAAAGAAACCTGCAAAAAAAAAATTCAGGACTTCAACGAGGTTTGATTTTTTTTTTGCAAAGAATATCTTCCAGGTTTGCCTAAGAATGAAAAAGAAAGACATTGTTCATGCCACACCAGAATAATTAAAACCGGTATAACTAGCAAGACGATCACACTGATCTTTACTGGGCGGGTGTAGGAATTCTTTTCACGAGGGATCCAACTTTTGTGCTCACCTTGGAACTTATTTACAACCTGTTTACACCCTTTACAACCTATTTCCTAGAAAGTTAACGTGCGACCCTTCAATTTCAGCGAACTCAGTAGTCATTTATTTTCTATAATTCCTTTCAATTTTTTTGGTTTCTTTGCTTTTTCACAGAATTCCCCTAAGCAAAATTGAGTTTAAAAAATTGGCAGTGACTCTAGGCGAAGTCACAAGTTATAAATATTTGAGCAATTGTGAAATAAAACTAGTTAAGAGTGCTAAAAATTAAACATGTCATTGTTATCGTTTACCACCAGGGAGGTCAGTTATAATATGATTTTACAACTTTGAGAATATACCATTTTAATGACTGTTTTAACTCATTTGAAAAGCTTCTAGAACACGCGATAAAACCTCAGCATGAAAGCCGGGCAGTTGTACTTTCCAATTTGTTGTGTGTTGTCATTGATTTCGTGTATTTCACAGATTCTAAACCTTAGCGCATGCAGTATCATAGTATTAACATAAGCACTTTATTCGAAATAAAAAGCAAGAAATTGAATCCGACAAACAAATCACATAACTATTTGAACTATAATGCGAGTACTAAAACGAGGTAACGGTCTAGCCTTATTTTTGTCTGCAAAAAAATCGTATAATTAAAAATTGCTAGACTCGCTGTTGACTCACAATTACCAGGAGAGTTTTAGGGGTCAGTAATATAACTTTCTAATAACTGTTAAGTCTTTCTCTAGCTATTTGTCTTAGTTTACACACAGGGAGCAGTTTTCTGTGGAATTAATGTTAAAAGACTTAAAACTAAACAAAAAGTATTAATTTTAGCATTTTGCCCGAGGCACACTGATTGCAAAGCTTGAAACAACAAATATAGCCTGACTTTTAAATCGTAACTTTGTCTTGTACCTTTAGTTTGTTCGTAAGTGGCAAAACACCAATGTTAATAATTTTTCAATTCGTTTGATAATGAAGAAGTTCTCAACGGAACAGAAAATTTTGCGGGTTTTGTCATCCAAATGTAGTCACATTACCCCTTTAAAATCTAAAGGTCGTTATTACTAATAAAAAATAAGTAAAAAAACCTGTCCGAAAATCGGTATATTTCTTTATCCAGGCTCTTTTCTAATGTTCAGTAGTGCATCTATTCATACAATAAAGCAAAGTTTCCTTGACCCTTTAACGGTTTTTTTCAACTTTTGATAAAGAGAACACCGCGAATATTCATCGGCATTGCTGAAAAGAGGGCTTTAAAATAAGGTGGTAACTAACCAAGTCTAAAGGTGGTACGTCCAAGGAGAGCGAAGAAATAGCGGTTCCGCAAAGTTGCGAAATTTCACAGACGTTTGTAGGGTGGGGTGGGGGTGGGGGGACGAACTTCCCTCCCACCATACAAACTTTGCGGACCTATATCTTCGTTAGTTTTCAACAAATCACTCTCAAACTTGGCATCTTTACTGATTCCGGCCAGGACTTTCTTTCCAGCCGTGTTGAAGGACTTTCGCTGACTGCTGGTCATATTAAAAGTTGAAAAAACCGTGGAGGGATTAATTTACCCTGTTGTACTCTTAGCTGGGGCTTGAAATTGCGTGGACATGTACTGAAAAGTTTCTTGAGTAAAGGATGCACATCTTGCGTTTTAGTCAAAACTTATCAGAAAAAGTTAAGTTATTTACAGTCAATTAAAGGAAATATTGCTGAGTGAACTCCAGCAAAAGATCTTAAAGCGCTCACAGAGTCACCAGCATTTCCTTTTTCTCTAACACATCATCAGCTTTAAGACAATTATAGTAAAAACTCTTAGATTTTGCTTAAAGATGTGTGGAGATCATTGCAGTGCAAGATGGTCCGTTCATCCGGTTTTCAAGAAAGGCCTCAGCTTGCATTTTTCTGCTTTATCAAGAAAACGTTTCGTATCAGACTAAAGAGAAAAACCTCCTCACTAAAACTGAACGAGTTAGTCTCAAAGAGGGAGAGGTGTTCTTTCGCAGGGGTATGGAAATCACAACAATCTTTATTAGAAGGCTATTAAACTGAGACTCTATCTCTCCGGGGGTTTGATAAACATATTAGGATAACAAAGCGTGATTTTACTAACAAAAGCAGTTTTTGTTTTAAGTGATCATGTTTTGGTAAACAGGCACAGATGTGGGAAATGAGTTTAAACTGATTTCAAAGCTGCTCAAACAAACCTAGAGTGCCTTTGTACAACTTAAAGTTTAACTAAGCATGCGTGATGTGATATCAAATAGTTTGAGGGTCTATATAATCAGAAACAGAATCGTCTTTGGGCATCAGTGTCTTCCATAACACAGAGAAGAATCAACGACAAGATGATCGCCAAGGTAACTTTGCTGTTTCTCGTCGCAGTGGCCGTTTCTGCCAAAGTTGAGATGGAGTACCATCCACAAGCCGTACTTCACTACTTGGAGCTGAAAGATCAGCACCTGGCAAGGAAGGTTCGAGGCATGCTCAAGCTCGATGCAGACTTCCCTAGGCCCAGCCCGAGTTTGCCCCCAGGTATCTCAAAGGGACTAGTCGTAAGTATTTAGTTAAACGTTTTGCGGTACTTAATAATTATAACCTTCAAAGGTCCCAGAGCAAGTATCAAACGTTTCCGTCAATAGAAATTTCTGCTTCATTGATTGCAGTCAAGGATTTCTTTCACAGCTTCATAGAAGGCTTCATGAACACCATATTTAAAAAGGAAACACTGACATCGAAGAATATTACATAAAGTGGATTAAGAATAGTAAGCCAAAATTAAGACCAATCAGGGCCTCCTCGCAGATAGCCTAATTCTCAGACGTCCGAGGTCGTTCGCTGTCCCTTTCGCTTCCCTCCCTCTCTCGGGAGAGGGAGGGAGGGAAGCGAAATTAAAGGGACCGCGAACAACCTCGGACGTCTGAGAATTAGGCTATCTCGCAGAAAGCCCGGTAAGCTTTATCGACTTTCGACGCGTTTTTCTTTGCAAAAATTTTGACGTGTTTAGATGGAGGGCTATATCTTGGTTGTTGCTTTTCCTTTGTAAAAAGAAAAAAGACCTTAACCAGACTGGGCTTTTAATATTGTTATTTGAATATTTTTTAAAATAGAAACACTGTGTCGCTGAAGCCATCAAATGCCACATCGCAGCTGATGAGGATGCTTGTGGACATTTAAAGTGCATAAAATCTACGGCTTGTTGTCTGTATGTGGCCGGCCTTCGAATAAAGCATCTACCTGAACCTGTGGTAAGTTCCGCTTATCACAGGGGCGGATCTAGGGGGAGGGTGCAGGGGGTGCGCACCCCCCCTGAGATGACCTGCGGTTTTCTAATACAACTGGTATTCTGCAAAAGAAGAAAAACTATGTGGTTTATTAGTGTTGAAGTAGAGCAAGAGACGAGTGCACCCCCTCCTAAAAAAAATCCTGGATCCGCCCCTGTATCAACTATTTCACTTAACATTTAAATTGAATTGAAAAATAGGAGCATCTCTGGTCCCTGAGGCCCGAAGCTCCCGGGAGGATGAGGCACCTTATGATGGGCTACTGTTTCTGTGAAGGCCATGGCGAGGTTTTCACGCCACTTTTTTCGTGGATGGAATATAGCAATAAGAGAGTTTTCGTCTGGAATAGGGTGTCGTATCAATAATTTGAAGAATCAGTACAAGCTAAGAGCTATTAGGGTCCCCGAGGCACAGCCGAACCCACAAATTCATAGAGTATATCCCTCGGGTTCGTGGTTTAGGCTTGACATCAGAAAGTCTGGGTTTATAAGTCCTTGGGGTACACTAGTACGATTCTAGGGATTTACCAGTCTGTTTCAAATTTCCTCCAAAAGTTTTTTTTAGCTCGCGTAAACGAGATGGGATATTTTTTGAAAGAAAAGTTGGAAATATTTTAAAAATTGAACTTTTTTAGCTAGGGGGAGGGCCGACAGGGCATTCAATGTAATTCAATGTTACAGTTAACCGAGCAGTAAAGCTTTACTCATTTCTCCATTTACACGGGGTCAAACTTCGTACCTTAATTGGTCTTGAAACTTAAACACAAACTACGCTACTGATAAACTACCTTGGGATACAAAATAATCTGATATAGATCATTTTTGGTCACGTTATCTTGAAGGCAGTGAGTGTGTTAGGTCTAAACTTGAAAATAGCCCTGGGGTTCCTGTCCGAAAGTCAGGGCGATTCTTTACATAAGACGTTACTCCACCCTACCTTTAACTACCTCAGTTTCCAGGCAGGTCACAAGTGTAACTGTATAACTTTAGGGGATCAACAACAATAACAATAAGAACGGGTATTGCTGTGATGAAATTACCAGATAGTGGTCCAGGCTAAAAACGGGGAATTAATAGATTTTGTAAAATAATTAATGGTTTTGAAGGGAGTTTTTCATATTAACTGTGTTTTGGGGTTTCTATTTTGATTTACTAAAGAAAAAATGTCTACCAATCATTCCGTGCTGCCTGGAGGGAAGCGACAGCTGCGAGGAGAAACTGGGATGTTTCGTGAAGTTTGGAAATTGCGCAAAGGTGCTTGGGGACGAGAAATACAGGAAGTAATCAACTTTGCCAAAGGAACCGGAATTAACGAGAAAAACCTGACAAACCTGCATAACAAGTAGTCTTAAAAGTAGAAATCAGTTGTCATGGATAAAGGAGTGTAGCAATTAATAAAAAGGGTGATTATGAGCAAAATGTTGTTCAATTGATCAGTAATTCCCAGCTTGTTAGACGAAAAATGAAGGTTAAGCGTCAGTTAGAAGGCCCCAGCTAGGACGATTACGAGTACGAGATTTTCTCAATACTGAGTATTGGTCGCGCGTGAACCAGTGTCATTTTGGCGGGAAAACGTGATACTGTAGCCGTCGTCATGAGCTTTAGCGAGAATGTCTTAATCGCGGGAACAAGTCATCAAATGTAACAAGTTTTTTTATTTTGCTATCGGGAAAGGGCTTAACCTCCTTCAGTATAAACAACCGTTCTATCTTTTTAGGTGAATGAAGTAAAATGAAGCTTTCCGGGGTGTCTTTGTTTTAGAACACGCAAAAAAACGTTAAATCTCGTACTCGTACTCGTTTTCATTTTCAAATTTAAAGCTCTCTAGTATTCTCCCTATTGATTTTCATAACGGCATTCCCTTGAAGAACTAGTTGTGAGAATTTGGTAAAAGGTCAGAGCATTTTCCAATAGGTGATCATTTGATCAACTCTCATAACCTTTTGTCTTTGCACCGATATTGTAAGGAGAATATTAATCTTGGTGGGACTTTAAAGATTAAAAAATGTCAGTCCTGTGTTCTTGGCAAGAAGGCGTCGGTCTTTGTAGGGCCGTGGAGAAGTTTCAAGGTCGCTCGCGCTTGTGCATAAGTGTTTCCATCGGGCGCTCTATAAAAACTAACCAAATAAAAGAACCTGCGCCTGCCACACAAGCTAGGCCAGCCAATCTCAGTACTAATGTCATCTTGAATTTAAATTTTTACTGTTAATGTCGAAAACGCGGTGTTTTGTATTTTCGAATTATAAGCTGCTTTCCCTTTTGTTTTATGAAAAGCTAAGTACTAAACCTGGTTTTCGTTTATCTGTAATGGTCTACTTCGGTCTTCTGCGACGATCGAAAAACTATAAAAAAAGACTATATGCGTCGGATGCCCGGGGGGTACTCAACAAACGTTTATAAGGCTCACCCCCTCCTCTAGAATAGCCGCATAAACATAACAACTTTCTTTAATTTACCAAACATGTTTCGACGTAGCCTGTGTACAGACGTCCCCCCTCCTCAGAAAAAATCGAAAGTCAAGAGTCTCCTCTCCCGATTTTTCCTGTGTGAGGGGGGATGTCTGTACACAGGCTAGTTTCGACGGTACATTCGTCATCTTCAGTGTTATACATATTGTGAAATCGCCTTTGAATTTAAATCGCGCGCGCGTTTGCAATATTGCGTACTAAAAGTTTAAATTAGTGACGCTTAGCTACTTACAAGGCGAGAGTCAGGTTTATGTGTTTCACCTGATGGTTAAGGTCGGCTTTCTCCCATGTTATTACCTTTTTTTTTCTCCTCTAGTATACCCTCTATTGACAAATGGTACCCCTTTCACATACATAGTTCAAAACTTTACATCCCTTTTAAACTGGACTGTCTAATAAATATGATTCAATGACCAGACTTTTTACAACCATAATTGCATATGTTAGCCTTTTTGGGACTTTTTACAGACCAAAATGACAGATCTCCTAACACTTCATATGCCTGAAGCCTGAAAGAGGTACCTCTTTCAGGGGTATAGGCTATTGTAGGATGCACTCCCATCCCCGAGGTCGGATATGTTCAGACCATCTCAGCTTTTAGCGATCGCAGACTACAACAAGAACAATAACAATTTATTCAATTTGAACTTACAAAACACAAACACTGGCCGCAAACTATATAGTTATATAACCTTACAACATATGCAGGGAAGAATCGTTTGTGGTCTCCGATACAATGTCGATGTAATATTCCAGCTCCGTAGCCGTAGCAAACTTGGGTCTCTTAAATTTCTGGTAAAAATTCATTTCAGTCGAAGGTCTGAACGCATCACACAGTATACGGTATTGTTGCCAAGAAGGAACCGCTGTGAAATCTTCAAACCTCTTTTGTCGCATTTGACTTGAAGAAGTGGGAGCTGAACTTGCTTTAAGATGCGGAAAGCGAGAGTGGAAGGGTGCTAGATAGTGCTGTCTTTGATTCGCAGCTTTTCGGTGGGATGTAGTTTGTGTCGCCGGCATAGTGGCTTTTTTCCCATCCGAAACATCTTCACCTTCAAAAGCCAGCGTTCGGATCGAAGATCTTCTGGATAGATCTTCTGGAGTGGTCATGGGTGGGTTTGGAGGGATATCACTTGCAATGCTGTGTAAACTGGGCTGATTTTCTACACGTTCTTCGACAGGCGCATTTCCGTGTTTAAAACAAGGCAGTTCATTTTCACATTGAATTTTAGGCTGTTTCGGATCGTCTTTACAATGTTGTCGTTGTTTCGTATTCAAATTCGCGTCGGTCGCCATGAAATTTTGTCTGTGTACCCTCGCCCTGAATGAAGTTAATTTTTCCTTTGAGTTCATTTTGTTATTTTTGTTGGAGTTGTGACTTCCTTTCCCTTTGATGTTTTGCGATGATGTAACCTCCTTCGTAGCAACGGTGTTTGCCTTCCTCGTTGAAGTGAACTCTCTCCCTGGAAGCTTTAGATAATGCCTATTTATGCTAGAAGCTTTACCTTTCGAAGTCTTTGACTTTTGTCCATAAACTCTCCTTACATTAGTCTCTTTCTCTGCTTCATCTTTGTTACCAGAAAGGTACAGAACTTTGAAACCAGAATTCAGCCTTGCTATGTCGCTTCGGTAATGATGAAAATTTAATATATGCTCGTAACATTCAGGTACAAAATTCTGCACCAGCTCTTCAGATTTTTTGTTCATCAAGGCATAGTTCGTTTTACCAGGTGCTAGAGTTTGGGAGATCATTTCCCCTGCCTTTCGTGTAGTGCTTCGGCGTGTGAGATTCTCTTCTCCAACGGTTGGTTCTGAGCGAAATGAAATAGTACGAAATGCATTCTGCATACTTTCAACAAACGCCCTTTGTCGATGATCTTCAAACTGTGATTTATCGCGTTTTTGAGATGTCACTGGGCCACGGTTTACACTAAATATGCAGTCATTTCTTCCGCGGAGCTCTTTGCTGTCAGCCCTCAATTTGCGCGCATTTAACGAGCTTGTAGCCATTAATTGCCAGCGCAGGTCAGCAATTCAATTGAGTAAGAGGTCTTGCAATAGTTCGTTAGCAACGCAGTCATTGTGTATTTTGAGCAAATTGGTGATTAAAGCACGCGATGATTCCATTAAGTAAACAGGCTCAAAGATAAACATCTCTGTTGCAAAGCTGATTTGACAGAGGATTAACAGATTATGAGATCAGTTTGTCATTTATTCTCAAGAGTCCTGCTTTATTAAAAAGGCTTATTACATTTTAAGCATACAGGTTGGGGTACTAATTTTTGCGTTAGATTTTGTGATTGGCGATTTTGTGTGTTCTGCTGGAACTAATTTTTTGTGATTGGCTAAGACTACTTTACTTTTTACGAATTTCTTTTTGCGAATAGCCTGCAAAACAGGCATTCTTCTTCTTACTTAATTTTTTGCGTTTTTCGGGCGAACGAAGAGCAAAGGGGCGAGGAGCGCGAGACACGTGTCTTCCCCCGTTGCGTGTGTCTCGCGCTCCTCGCTCGCTTCGCGCTTGTCTTTGCTTTCCTGTAAAACGTGAAAAAACAACGCCCATTCTGCAGGCTATTTTGCGAGTTTCAGCAACGTGCATACAACACTTGTACATATTCAATAAAACTACTTTAAGAAAATTGAAAATCACTGTATGGACTGACATTCCTCAATATTATTATCGTCATTATTATCATTATTATTATTATTATCATTATTATCATTATTATTATTATTATTATTATTATTATTATTATTATTGGTTGGGTTGTTACCTCAGAGACATCAAAATTCTCCAATAAACAACAACAAAAAAAAGAACGAAAATGCAATTAGGCCTTCATTCATACTCAAAATAGAAAAATACACCACTGGTGTCCAAAAATATTTGTTTACAACATTATTCAATAGTTTTATAACTATGTGCATCCTACTGGTTAGAATTAAATAGTGTCTATCCAGTTTTACATAGACTCCAAAATTCTCTTAATTCCTTGAGCTTCCTGGAAGAAAAAAAAAACAAATAACTAATACATTAGTAAAAAAGTAATGGTGAACAAAGTAAGGCTGTAACAATCAATTAATCGCGATATTAACGCTGCGATGGCAAAAATGAAACATCGATAACAATCATTATGTACCAAGCTATCAATAGTTTCGATAGTTTCTACGCTACTAACGTTTTGATTTCTTTGGATAATAAAGGCACCCTTTTTTACCCATCTTTAATTCTCAAGGTCACAATAACAGTAAAACAGAACCTGAAAAAAATCTACCGTCGTAGAATGTTTTAGAGTCTTGATTCTTGAACTGCATAGTACCTGTATTGTATCAGTGTTCTCCCCAGGATCTTGGGAAGGCCAGGGGGCATTCTGAAAAAATCCTAATCTATTCAAGATCTTGTTGCTTAGTCTATTCCGCAGTTATTTTTGGACAACCTTCCACGCACGTGGGAATTTAGTTTAGTATTTCATGTAATATCCCTTAAAGTGTCCTTGAATTTATGGCTAACCGTGCCATTCAATGAAAAAAGCGGACGATATTGTGGCAGGTTTCATGGAGTGTGAAAAAGTGCAATGAAAAAACACTAGGCAATGTTGAACAGTATCTTCATTGAGTATTTTTTCTTTACTTATGGACAGGATCCCAGTTCTAGATGTTTAACTGCATAAGGTTTCTTCAGTTTTAAGCCAGGCGGCAACGATTTTTCAATGAATNGAAAATGCAATTAGGCCTTCATTCATACTCAAAATAGAAAAATACACCACTGGTGTCCAAAAATATTTGTTTACAACATTATTCAATAGTTTTATAACTATGTGCATCCTACTGGTTAGAATTAAATAGTGTCTATCCAGTTTTACATAGACTCCAAAATTCTCTTAATTCCTTGAGCTTCCTGGAAGAAAAAAAAAAACAAATAACTAATACATTAGTAAAAAAGTAATGGTGAACAAAGTAAGGCTGTAACAATCAATTAATCGCGATATTAACGCTGCGATGGCAAAAATGAAACATCGATAACAATCATTATGTACCAAGCTATCAATAGTTTCGATAGTTTCTACGCTACTAACGTTTTGATTTCTTTGGATAATAAAGGCACCCTTTTTTACCCATCTTTAATTCTCAAGGTCACAATAACAGTAAAACAGAACCTGAAAAAAATCTACCGTCGTAGAATGTTTTAGAGTCTTGATTCTTGAACTGCATTGTACCTGTATTGTATCAGTGTTCTCCCCAGGATCTTGGGAAGGCCAGGGGGCATTCTGAAAAAATCCTAATCTATTCAAGATCTTGTTGCTTAGTCTATTCCGCAGTTATTTTTGGACAACCTTCCACGCACGTGGGAATTTAGTTTAGTATTTCATGTAATATCCCTTAAAGTGTCCTTGAATTTATGGCTAACCGTGCCATTCAATGAAAAAAGCGGACGATATTGTGGCAGGTTTCATGGAGTGTGAAAAAGTGCAATGAAAAAACACTAGGCAATGTTGAACAGTATCTTCATTGAGTATTTTTTCTTTACTTATGGACAGGATCCCAGTTCTAGATGTTTAACTGCATAAGGTTTCTTCAGTTTTAAGCCAGGCGGCAACGATTTTTCAATGAATCAAGCCAGGAGGCCTGCCTGGCCTGAAATACCTGGGGAGAACACTGGAGCAGTATGACCACCACTTCTTAGTTATTTCTTTACGTATAAGGCATTAAGTAAAAACAGATATTCGCGAAAACTATGGCACCACTATTGCAATAGTACCTCCACTATCCCAATGCTATTGCAATATCCATGGGGCCTATTGCAATACATGACAATTGCAATAGTTAAAATTTCCCAATAGTTACCCCTAGAACAAAGTGTGGCTACAAGAATACCAACAAAAGATGTTCCCTTGGGGGAACGTACTCCCTTTAATGGCCTATATAGGGGAGCTCTGCCCTAAAGGGGTACCTTTTTTTAGGCCACAGGAATATCCAGATAAAAGGGTAAGTATTTCACTCATTGAAGTATATGAAAGGGTCGGAAAGTCTCTGTCATTTAAGTCTGTAAAAGGACCCAAAAAGGGCTGACAGATGCAGATGGCTCATCCTCGGAGACCCAGGGGCAGTCAGTCGGGCCGGGAGAAAAGGCGCGACGAAAGTTTTCAAGCTTGAAAACTGACTGACTGCCCCTGGGTCTCCGAGGATGCAGATGGTTGTGAAGACGTCAACTTGTTATTTCCAGGTTAAGTGATTTATTCATATTTAAAAGGCACTACATTTACAATAGTTAAAAAGGGTGCAGCATTCTAAACTAGTTATTTGAAAGGGTCACCATTATCAATAGAAGGCACATGAAAGAGGTGCCTATAAAAATGGTATATAAAAGGGTAACGGGCTTACACATTGGGGTAGAGCCTCCCTGAATAGAACAAAAGAGACATGACTTCATTATTCACTCGCTTAAGGGAATTTCTTTTATTTTATCACCCTTAACCTCAGTGTCGAGTATAAATTTTGAGAAATAATATTTTACTGCGCTTTTCACAAACATGCGAACTCTAAAGTTCAAAAGCCGCCTTCACAATATTATTGCGTTTTTCGCTGCCATCAATCAAAATTACCATCACAAGCAACGAACCTTGAAACACAGAAACACACAAAACGGATCGAAATCCTCCAATCCCAAATCACAAACCATGACCTTTTGAACCCGTTAAAGTAAAGTTTTGTTTCCTAAGAGGTTTGTTACAAAAAACACAAAAAAAAAAAAACGCAATTGTCAGTTGGCTTTTGAACTTCAGAATTCCCATGTTTCTGAAAAGCGCAGTAATGTATCTATGCCTAAGGGTCTATTTATATTTAACAGTTTTTGTGAGTGTCTTGGTTATATCCACTAGTACAAGTACTGTTACCTTCCATTACATGATTGTATAACTAACCTGTGGATTTGAGAACACAAATGATCTCGAAATGTAAAGCTTTTTTGTCTGACTGTCAAATCTCCACATATTCAAGGAGACACCTAACAATAAACAAAAATATATATAATTATTTAGTATATACTAAAACAGTGGATAGTGTTTTTCGCATGCTCTGATTGGGTACTCAATTAGTGAATATCCTGCCCTATTCACTGATTCACCTCCAGTGCCTCCTAGCGAGCAATGCCAAACTCGCGTAAGTTGTGAGCAAAATGCCTTCCCGGTTTACTGCCATAACAAACAAAGAAATTTCACTACTAATCAAGCAAGCTGTTTCTGAAATACACAAAGAAGGTGACGAAGTTCGGTTTGGAAGTTTTAACAGGTAAAGCTTTGTCTTTTTGACTTGAATTTTCGATAAAACCCATGAAAAAGTTTTTTGTTTACCAATACAAATTAAGCTTAAGTCTTATGTTACTTTATTTAGTTGAAAAAAAGAATCCACAACTCCTTTTGAAGAACTAAATATCCACCACTAACAACCTCCACTTCAGTGAATAATAAATGTTATATAATCAAACAATAAATTATCATTATTACTAATTATATTATGCTTCAAAGCATAACATTTGGAATACACAGTAGACAAAGATGTAGATCTAGACGCACACATACAAAACAGTAATTACACAATACACAATAATATTATTGGTACAGTAGCTGACATTCCACTGCTATGATCACATACCCCATTCGGTATCTAAAATTATTATCAAAATCAATGAACTGTTTTTAAAGGAAATATGCATTACATAATCTACTTGTCCACTAATTTCTTTAAAAATCTTATTCTTGGTGCAAGTGTTAAAATCTTCCAAAAACATGCTGGGGTGGGGCGAAGGCGTGTTCGCGGGAGTGATCTAGGAAAGATTTTAAGGCCGTTTTGTCCGATCGTGCGCCACTTCTCTTGCCATTAATAGTAGCTATATAGCTTACCTTGAACAGTCTTCCTGAATCTTGATGACTCGTCGCCAATAAAGAAAGAACCATTTGCAAAAGTAAACTGCTCAATATTTCTTGTGTTAATGATGACATCTTCCCGCAAAGGCGTGTACAGGGTTTCACCTTTAGGTCGACAATCTTCGGACTCAAAAATTGAACAACCAGCGTGGATTGTCAAAAATCTACGACAGCCCGGCCAAGAAGACCCAGCAGGCATTTGTGATGCGTCAGATCTCTTCGAGAACAAGCCATTCTCGCTTTCGTGTTGGCGAAAACCATCGCGTGAGTTTGCGGGACAATGATGTTGACTTGTTTCATCTGTTCTCGGCCTTTTAGCAGAAGCGAAACGATGATCACGCGAAGTCACGCATGGCAAAGATGCTTCTGTGTCGACATCCATTGGCAAAATATTGAATTCAAGTCATTAATAATAATGGTCGTGAATAACGCTCTCATGAAACAAATGGGTTCTGCATAAACAAGTTTGACAAGGCCTCCAGCAGTGTGCAAATCAATAATAATCCACAACAATAACAGAAACGAGATATCTACGCCATATTTTCGAAACTTGCGCCCCTCTTTTAAGCCTCGTTTCTAGGAGGAGGCCGATAACATTGGTATGTAGACTTCATGTAAGAATCACTAAGGAAATACACAAAAAAGTAAAAAAGATGAAAACAACGGTTTTGTAGTTTTATATGTTGAAAGCTTCCTGACGGTGCACAGTCCTTTGTTGTTCACAGATTGTGCCTGAATAAATAAATGGCACATTTCTCTTAGTCCATGGTCCTGTTTTTAAAAAGCATCACCCTTTATTTACAGTTATGCCCAAAAAAAATATGATGTTTGTCAACCAATCTGGATGTGGCTCAGTTTTACTTGACCTGTAAAAGAGACTATACTTAAACAGGCAACAAAAGTATTATGACTGATTGAATTGCACTAAATATGTCGATAACACATGCAGTCTTCAACTCGATATAATGCCATTTGCTTTTTTTTATACTTGGTTTGTAACCACATGAAAAGGCAGCCATGGGGGTTGCCAAATCAAAGAAACCTTTTTTGGAGATTTTCATTAAAAAAATAATAAAGTTCCCAACAGAAGAAAATGAGACAAGGAAAAAAACTGTCTCTCGCTCTACCAAGTTCCATATTAATTTTTTAAGGCACAATGTTTGCTTTAGTGTTAGTAGCATTGTTGTTGAAATAATCTTCCACAGAATGCCATTTGATTAGATTTTCTAAAAACTAAAAGGACTTTAGTCATAATCATCTAAGTTCAGTGATGGTGCAAAATTATGCACCATCATTTTGACTCTTTCTTTGCTTTTTCCAATTCGCTGTACAGTATCCTCAACCAATGACAGTCTTTCTTTTTCCTCATTGTATCTAAGCTCCAAGTCATGACATCTGTTTTCGCAATCTTCCTCTTTTACTTTTATCGCATCAAGCTCTGTTTGCAGCCGATTAATCTTATCTTTTATCTCTGTTTCATCCATTTCTAGTTTTTTCATTAATTTCTTTTCATCAAGAAGCTGTTCTGTGACTTCTTCCATGGTGTTAAGAATGGTTTCAGCTTCACCTAAAAATACATCAATGCATAAAGTTGCTGTTAGCTGGTGAATGCAACTGAGCTTCCATAAATCATCTTCAGCCAAAGAAGAACTCTATATAAAAACAACAACCAGGGCTCCAATCCCTAGGATTTTACTGCAACAATAATGTTGTTTCCCGCACCCTGCCGTTACCGTGGTCTTAAACTAACGGAACCGAAAAATAGTTTCCCAGTAACATTTTCAGCCTTAGAGGTCAATTTTCAGAAATTCACTATTTTTTCCACTCAGATTCTTAAATAGTTGAGCAGTTCTTAGTTATGACTTGGGTTATATATGAAACTAAAACATCGATTAGCATCTATCATCTTTCTATTGTTCGCCATATTGAATTGTTTGAATTGTTTCCCATGATCTCTGGGCACAGAAACAAAAAATTGTTTTCCATGGGAATTGAAATTCTGGGGCTTGGGGCTCGAAAAAAGCCCCATATGGTAGTCCAGGAAAAGTAGATTTTCTTGCTGGGCAAGTAACTTTTATAGCTTACTTGCTCAATGTGCAAAGGTTTTATGCATGTCATCTTTAACAAAATCATTAACTAAGACAAGCAAGAAGCAGCCCCTTCCTTAGCCAAATTTTTTAAAGACACATTTATTGTTCTAGATATGGCAACTTCTGAAAAGTCAGAAGACCAGGTCATTGTTCTGGGATCTCCATACAGATGTTTCCCACCACAGTTAAAGAAGCAATTAATCTTAGAGATCACACCGCCCCTTTAAAACTGCCTCAAGCATGACATACAAAATACTCACTATTTAAAGCATTGCACCTCAAGGCTAATGACTGATATTCGTCCACATATTGTCTAGTTTGTTCTTCCAACTTTTGAAGTCTTTCTTTCTCCTTTTGCTCTTTAAAGTCTGCAATTATTCCTTGCATGACAGTATTAACTGCAGTTGACCTGATGGTTGTTTGACAAGTTGGACATTTTTTGCATTCACGCAGACAGCTTTGGCAAAAGGTGTGTCCACAAGGTATAGCAGCCGTAGGTGTGTATTTGATGCCCGACATCATTTTATTGCACAGTGGACAGAAATGACTGGCAATGTCTGATTCAGTGTCGTCATCAACACTCTGCTGCATTCGTTTGTGATTGACAGTGGGCTGTAATGAAGCTTTTAGTTTCTGAGCAACAGTATCGGCTAAGGCATTCAACATATCAGTTGATAATTCTGGCGTGTTAAATTTTGAAGAAGTTTCACTTGGAATAGTTGTATTACTTTGATTACTGTTAACTGTCAAATGATCACTCATGGCACCATGCCTAATAAGATTGTTTTCCTCATCGTCATCACCAACATGGTGATGGCTTCCAAGTTTGTCATTACCATGGAAACTTGTATCTGCCTTTACAGATGTTCGTGATGATGGCCGTAGTTTATTATGAAGAGTCTGTTTACTTGATGAAAGAGCTGCACTGCTTGAATTGCCTGAAGAACTGGAATTTCGATAATTAGAGGGTGTGTACTCTCTACTATTCAGCTGAAAATCACTCCGAGCAGATGATTGGGTTAAGCTAGGATTCCTGTTATGTTTGCCAGAAGCAGAAGGCGGTCTCTGTTTCTTTACAACTGGGTTATCACCCTTTGATATCCAAGAGACCATATCTGAGTGGTCTCTCTGTGGCTCAGGATATAAAGGTTTTCTGCGTGGATTGCTGTAGGGGTTCCTGTGTGCAGAGCCCTCGGAAGAGCCACTAGCAAGAGTTGAAAGGGCTCTAACTTTTGGCACATCGGGAAGAGGAGTGTGCTCTTTGTTTATAGCCTTTAGTTTCGTCAACGAAGACTTCGATACTTCCCTTTCCTTCATCCATTGACTCTGTTTCTTGCGGATTGCCTTCACTTTTGCGACAGTCTCTTCTTTTGACTGATCGTTCGCTTTCTTTGATGATTTGGTCTGTAGTTTTTTTCCTTGCACAGACATGGTGACTTCGATCACGCACCACTTAGGTATTAACCTTAAGGTATTTTAATACTGCTGAGCTTGAAGTTGTGCTCAGATATGTTACCTGTAGAAAGAATAAATATAAATAATTATAAAATACCTTCGTTGACAACCGCAGTCCGCCATTTTGTTTTGTTTGCGGAAAAACTGGGAGGTTACCAAGGATAATCTTCTCGTTCGCAAAAATATTTTAGGGAGGGGTCCAGAAGGAAGAATATTAAGAAAGAAAACATTTATTAAATTGAAAATAATATATACCGATGATTAATGAAATATATTTTTATTAGCAAAATAACAAATTTAAGTAACATTTGTTGCTCAAATGCTTTAAGATTAAGTAAATGTGTAAAAAGGAACAAGCCTTAATTTTACATACCCCTCCCCCTTCGTCTTGTTAGCCACCTCACCATCCACTCGGGCTACTGTAATATCCTCTGGACTTGCCGGAAAACGATTCCTCAAGAAGAAGTTGTTAACTTTACTTTGAAATTTAATTGTGGATGCTAGTTTTTGTGTATTAAGGGTGATTGTGACTTGAAGAAACTCGAAGATGTCTATGTCGGGGGTATTTGTCTTGGATATCAAAGGGAAGGTAGGCGTAAATCGATGTT